AAATTAATTAATTTAATCAGGATGAGAGTTGACATGCGCCAGGCTTTTGTTCAGAAAAGAAGTACCGACATGTGCAGGGTCGTAAACAAACCACAGAAGAAGTTCGACTTCTGTGATGAACGTAAACAAACGTTAAAATAACGTTGTGTTCCTACACTTTCCACCATTAAGGCGTTTAATAATATTACTAACCGACCAATATTGCTTCCCCAACATCATCTACTAGCCAGGCAGATTGGTGCGTTTACCATTTACTTCAGTTACTTATGTAAACATAGCTAATTGTAACCTGCACAAACTAATTGATTGTGTGATTTGTATTAATAACTCTGCCAGGACCTGATTTGTCTCCACTACAAAGCTAAAGGTCTGATCGAAGTCGAGCTATATTCAATAAAAGCACATAAAGTGTTTAGATTCATTCAACAAGTGAAAGGGAAATTGAATTCTGTAACAGATTCCATGATTAGATTCATAGTAGACCAATAAAATGTGCGCCCAAAGCCCTCTGGCCAGTTAACCAAGGCCCTCCCCTTCCCAGGCCCTCCACGGTCGGACTGCAGCGCAGCTGGAGCGGGACTTGCGGGTGGATCTGGGTTTCAGAGGCATGCCCATGACGGAYGAGCAGCGGCGTCAGTTCAGTCCCGGCCCACGCACCACTATGTTCCGCATCCCAGAATTCAAGTGGTCCCCGATGCACCAGAGGCTGCTCACCGACCTCCTCTTTGCTCTGGAGACAGACGTGCACGTATGGAGGAGGTGAAGCATAAAAATGAGCTCAGATATGTTTTTTTTTTCTATAAAATACATCATTTAATCATTTCTTTCTTTCTTTTTTTAGCCACTCCACCAAGTCAGTGATGGATTTTGTGAACAGCAATGAGAACATCATCTTCGTCCACAACACCATCCATCTCATTTCTCAGATGGTGGACAACATCATCATCGCCTGCGGAGGCATCCTGCCTCTGCTGTCAGCTGCCACCTCCCCCTCCGTAAGTGGCTCTCCCCCACCCCCATGTGGTCGGAGGGAGAACTGCAGCTCGTTCATGAAAGGCAGGGGAAAAACCAGCTAAATTCAGTCCTCCCTGCGCTCAGAACAGCATCGATCTAACATGATTTATTAGGATAATTCAGGGATCTGCAACCTTGTGTGGCTTCGGAGCTCTTTAACCCCTCCACAGTGGCTCCTAACTTAGAGCAGTTATCAAACTAAGCAGTGTTTGGAGGTTTAAAGGGAATAGGAAAGGCTTTTGTGGAAAATCTGCAATTTTCAGATTTTATAGATTAAAAAGTAATTTATCATTACAGCTATATTATTAAACCAAATAAAAATATGGCTAAAACTGCTTATGGATGGAATAAATGGTATTAATGGAGAAATTATCCTCCCTATAATATATGTATTTATGTTAATTGTTTGGGTTAACTTATGTAAAAAAGTACACCTAAGTATTTTATTACTAAAACAACAATAGTAGATGTTTGTCACCAAAAACAAAAAAGATACAGTATTAACACTGTTTATCACATGTCATATCATCATCAGGACATTCACAAAATATCCTACAACTCTAATTAGCAAATACTTTAAAAACATGATAGGGTTAGGTTTTTTTTTCTTCCTTTTTTTCGAAAGGTGGTGTAGATTTCGCATAAAAGCAAATTTCTTTTGGGATGAATGAGAGAAAAATGACTTTTTGGATTGTAAAGGTTGCAGACCCTTGGGATAAATAATTTTTTGTTTGTTCGGTACTCATGAAATCAGGACAAATCAAAATAACTTCACAGTGTTGTTTATGTACTGCATAGGCTTTTCTTTGTTTTGGCAATGAATGCAAACATTTGATAACTAATAAGAATATCTAGATTTTATTTCATTAATACTACCATAGATTTAACTACCAACCTAACCCAGTGTTTTTCTCTTTAATTTAAGTGTTTTTTTATTTTTAAACTAACAATCTGCTTAATTAGATAACTGGCTAACTGTTTATTTCACCTTTTCATTTGAATCTTTCTTTTCCTCTCTGTGTTTCCTGTATTTTCTGTATTTTCTTGTCTCTGTTTTTGTCTGTTTTGCATGTGCAGAGTTCTAAGAGTAGTGCCAACACTGTAAGTTGCAGTTTCTTCCTMACTATTCTACATGCGCTTTGTTTGGATTTTTTTTTCCCATTTGTAACTAATGATAACTCGCGTGCCTGACATCCATTGTGTTTGATTATGTTGTGCTACTTTGCTGCTAAAGCTTGTTTTATTCATTTAGTATTTTGTAGCTAAACATTGTTACAGAATTATAACA